TCAAGATGTTTTTTGGCAAAACTGAGACGAGCCTTTATGTTCTTTTTGCTCCGCAGCGGTTTTCGTCTTGGAACTCTGCCATGCAGACCATTTTTGCCCCGTCTCTTTCTTATGGTGGAGTCATGAACACTGACCTTAACTGAGGCAAGTGAGGCCTGCAGTTCTTTGGATGTTGTTGTGGGGTCTTTTGTGACCTCTTGGATGAGTCGTCGCTGTGCTCTTGGGGTAATTTTGGTCGGCCGGCCACTCCTGGGAAGGTTTTCCACTGTTCCATGTTTTTGCCATTTGTGAATAATGGCTCTCACTGTGGTTTGCTGGAGTCCCAAAGCTTTAGAAATGGCTTTATAACCTTTTCCAGACTTATGTATCTCAATTACTTTCTTTCTCATTTGTTTCTGAATTTCTTTGCATCTCGGCATGATGTCTAGCTTTTGAGGATCTTTTGGTCTACTTCACTTTGTCAGGCAGGTCCTATTTAAGAGATTTCTTGATTGCGAACAGGTGTGGCAGTAATCAGGTCTGGGTGTGGCTAGAGAAATTGAACTCAGGTGTGATAAACCACAGTTTTAACAGGGGGGCAAACACTTCTTCACACAGGGCCATGTAGTTTTGGATTTTGTTTTCCCTTAATAATAAAAACCTTCATTTAAAAACTGCATGTTGTGTTTACTTGTGTTATCTTTGACTAATATTTAAATTTGTTTGATGATCTGAAACATTAAAGTGTGACAAACATGCAAAAAAATAAGAAATCAGGAAGGGGGCCAACACTTTTTCACACCACTGTATATATATTTAATTCTCTTTGTATTTTTTATATCAGTATGGTACATGATTATCCTATTTAAATCAATGTAAGAAACGAGTTAGGTCAAAAGTAATCTAAAAGTAATGTAAAAGTAATCAAAAAGTAGTCTGATTATATTACCTAAAATATGTAATGTAATGGATTACGTCACTAACTACAATTTTTATCATGTAATTTGGAATCAGTAACTAACTACAATTTGCAATTCAGCGTAAAAGCCTCACTCACTCAAATGAATCATTTGGCGGTTCGTGCAAACTGCAGTCACAGACCTTTGACACGTTTAGCCAGTTGTTATACTGTCCTAAACTCACCATCAGTTCACCATGTCAACAACTTCACAGTATAAGATTAACAGAAATAAGCCAGATATATTTTAAATTGATTACTCTGCAGTCCGAATATAAAGATGCATAGTACATATAAAACACCATTAACACATGACAACAGGTTTACTGATAGCCAGCACTACATTAAAATGATGCGTCCAAAATGCATTTTAGGGGTTTAGGGGCATTTTAGGGGTAGAGAAAAAAAGCTTTTTCCCGTAAAAAATTGCTTAGTACATCAGTTTTAGCATAGCTAGCTATTAGCTTACTAAACATTGCAACAACAAAAAAAATAAAAATAAAATAAATAAATAGATGAAAATAATGCATTTTTAAATAATAAAATTAAATAAAATTAAAATATCAGTAAAATGACAATTAAAACAGGTTCAGACATTTTGATAGCTGTTAGTAATTTTAAAGTTTTTACTCCATTTTAAAACTGCAAGAGCTAAAAAGGCTTAAAACGGCATTTTTACTTACCAGCGAGATGCCAGAAGCACAAACCAAACAAAACAAACCCATGGAGCATTTTTATCAAATGTTTGCTGTGCTGTCTGAGAGAACATCACTCGAAATGTGACCAGTCCTCCCCTATTTTACACCCTCCCCGTGCACACGCACTAACTGTGCATTTGCATTTGTTCTACTTGCATATTTAACTGTTGATAGAAAGTATTCTATACGTCTTCTCTTTATTATTTATGACAGCCAATCATGTTTAGGGTAGGCCTATATGTCAAAACTGCTGATATTAAAAGAAGTAAAACTCAGTATCTTACTTTACTAGTGTGTAGACTGCAACCTACTAAAGTGCAATTTCTCGTAATGTTACATTTGTTTCAATATTAAATAGTCATTGGCAAATGGATACCTAATTTTAAATAGCATTATTGTTGCTAGACTAACTACTTTAACAGTTTATTTATTTTAACAGGAAAAAGTCTGTGGTTCATGTCAGCAAGACAGGAAGAAGCCATTCAACCGCATGCAACATAGATACAAACACAAGCTATTCCGTCCACTCAACAAAACAAAACCACATTTCTGTGTAGCCTAGATAAAAAGAAATCAGATCCAGGTTTTAGTTAACTGTTGAAAAAACCAGCATATGCTGGTTAGGTATGTTTTGACGCTGGGATGCTGGGTTAAGCTGGTCCTTTGCTGGTTTAAGCTGGTCCTTTGCTGGTTTAAGCTGGTCCTTTGCTGGTTTAAGCTGGTCCTTTGCTGGTTTAAGCTGGTCCTTTGCTGGTTTAGGAACTTCCTGACATTTTGGATGCCACCCGCCATAAAACACGAAGAAGAAGAACTTCCTGACATTTATCGAATTCTTACTTCGGTTCTTCGCAACGCGTATTTCTAGGCTTATCAGCAGTGAAATAATATGGAATACGCCTCCGAAGACGAATATAATTCACAAATGAATTTCAACGGGTATAAAATATCTCTATACAGTGTTGTTAAGTCGGTTACATACAATAATGTTAGTTAGAAAAGCGTGTTGTCGCTGTCTGATACGAGCTAGTTAAATGCTAATCACTCGAAAACACAACGTAGCATCTTACTAACTACACATCATCATCTTTACTCACCAAAATGAAGACTCCTGTTGTACTTTTATGCTTTTTGCTCGCGAAGGGTGAGTATTTAAAAAGCTTTAGACTTTCAGTTTCACTTTGTAGCTCTTTAACAGCTTAAGTGTGCCTTTGTAATCAAACTATATATGTACATTTATTTAGTTGTTGAGCGATATACGTAGGTGTAATATTGACATAATTTATCAACCACAATCACATATCTGCTCATTCTGTGTTCGTGTACTACCATTTCCCACAAACGGCTAGCCTCCTAAGCTTTTGAACTTTATCAGGTCTTATTAGCTGATTAGCATTTGGATTTGCTTAACGTTGTCAGTGTGAGCAAAGGTTTCTGTTTGTTCTCCAGGTGTGTTTGGTGCTGATGTGAAGTCAGTGATGGAGGGAGATTCTGTCACGCTACACACTGATCTTACTGATTTACAGGAATATGAACTTATACTGTGGACATTTGGATCTGGCAGCACCCGTATAGCTCAGATCAACAATGTAGTCAATAAAATCTCGCTTTACAATGATGTTCTTGACGGGAAATTCAGAGACAGACTGCAGCTAGATGACCGGACTGGATCTCTGACCATCACAGACAGCAGAACCGAAGACTCTGGACTTTATGAACTGCAGATCATTGGTGGAAAAGAGGTCCCACCCAAGAAATTCAGTATTTTTGTTTCTGGTGAGTCGTTTTGTAGTTGAATTCCTGTTGATTTCGGTGTATTGCACCATACTGAGAACACTGTACTAGTCAGCAGGTAAAATGCTAAATTAGCCAAGTCGCAAGTTGTTACTTTGATAACTTTACGATCCTTCAATCATCCTATATCCTCTTGGAGACAAAGCCAAGCTGAAAGTTCAGTATCGGGTTTCTTTTGTAAAGGCAGGGTAATATGAGACCGGAGTCACAGCTTGGTATGTGTAATTTGTGGCGAGTGACCCAGAGAGATAAAGCTAGTGGAAATTTTTCGTTTATGTAGGTGATGTTTAGGACTTTTACAATTGTATCTTTTTACTAGTATTATGGTTTATTTCCTGGTCACTGAGATGACATGGATGCTGGTTGATAGATGCGTGTAAAACTCAACTGCACAATTTTGGATTGTCTGTTTATTCTTTTGTGTTTTCCATCTCCAGCTCCTCTGCCTGTTCCTGTCATCAGCAGTAACTCTTCACAGTGTTCATCTTCATCATCATCATGTTCATTGGTGTGTTCAGTGGTGAATGTGGGTCATGTGACTCTCTCCTGGTACAAAGGAAACAGTTTATTGTCCAGCATCAGTGTGTCTGATCTCAGCATCAGTCTCTCTCTACCTCTGGAGGTGGAATATCAGGATAAAAACAGCTACAGCTGTGTGCTCAACAATCCCATCAGCAACCAGACTCAACATCTGGACATCACTCAACTCTGTCACACATGTTCAGGTACGGCAGCGCTGATATTAACCGATTTGTCCACTGGAAGCTTCTGTCACCAAGTGTGTAAGCACACTTTGCAATAAAGCTCTTTCTGATTCTGATTTATTCAGTTCTATACTTTTTCTACTAGCACATCAAAAAATGTATTTATGTTTTTCTGATCTACCGCTTTATAGTGGATGCATCAAGTTTAACCCCAGAAGACGGCTTATCCTTAGGTCACATGGTGCTGATCTGCGTTGTTATTGTAGTTACTGTACTAGTCTTGGCTGTAGTTGGGATGTTCAGTATCTACTGGAAATATAGAAAAACCGACCAACCGGGTAAGTTCACTCACATTTAATAGAGATGAATAATCAATAAATCACTCACAAGATGAGTTTTATTGTGCAAGCATGTAATTTTAATGACATTTACGGTATGTAATTGATTTACTTACCGGATTAATTTTTTTCCGTGGCTTATTGCACTTTTAATATCTCCTTTTAATAACAAGCATGTCTCTCTCTTTGGTCATTCATCCAAGTTCATTTATCGCTCTTATTGCTTTATCAGAATAGTATTGGTACGATTTGTTTGAAAAGTAGATTGCGCACCCCTAATCCAGTCTGTAATCAAACGCCATTACAAAGTTGCATCTGCTGTGGTTATTAGCACTTGTACTGAATATTTACTCTTTGTCTAGGTTCTCCAGGTGATGATTTGGCTGAGACAGATGAACTGAAGACCGTGTCAGTGAGGGTGGGAGAGTCCATCACTCTAAACACTGGTGTTACTGCAATACGAAGTTTTGATGTGCTGCAGTGGAGGTTTGGAGAATTAAACACAGACAGCACAAACCCATTCACTGTCATCGCCAAACTGAATGAACCAAACAATTTTGATGGCACTGTTCATGATGAGACATTCAGACACAGCTACAGACGCAGAGTACAGCTGGATCAAAAAACTGGTTATCTTATAATTAATGACATCAGACCTACAGATTTTGGAATTTATAAACTAAATATCTCCAGGAACGGGAGAAATATGATTTCCAAGTCATTTATCGTCCGAGGTGAGAAGCTCAAGTCATTTAGTAGAATAAAGATCCATTAATACTGTTAACAAGTTAGATAATCTGAAATGACCAATTAATTCATGCAGCTTTGTTTCAAACAATAATCTTTAGATTTTTTTTTTACAGATTCCTCAGAAAACGGAGAGAATGTTCCAGAGGAGACAATAACATTAATGAATGGAGAGATTACTGCAAACACTCGTCTATAGCGACTGTTACATTATCCTTATTTATATAAAACTTCTCTACTTTTATGAGCCTTTAAAACTAGACAATGTGTTTGAAATGAACGCTGCATACTGTTAACCTGTGAAAAGTAACATAACAAAGGGTTGCTTTTGATTTACACTAACTTTTGTTGTTGTTTTACAGTTGATGGAAGGTTTTATGCAGATATTCCTGTTACATTAGTGTCAATTTTACAGTTTTGATCAGTGTTAATGAATGAACGGTTTCTGCCCTCTACAATCTGTATTTAAGGGTGTGTTTGTAAATAGTTGTAACCAATAATGTGAATGAGAGGCTGCAATTTTGGTCTGAATGTAATTTCAGCCTCATTAAGGACAAAGTATGAATTTATTTTATTACTATTTAATAATAAAAATAAAAAACTTGTTCTTTTGAAGTAATTGTCCTATAAATTTAGGGAAACCCTTAAGGAAAACCTTATTCCATAAATGCAAAACACTATATATATATATATATAGTTCAGTCATGAAACTCAAGATGGCGCAGGCGACGGGTTGTTAACGTAACTGATGATATTCAGAGAGTTAAACGGCTTTGCACAGCTGATTGGTTCATGCTGCATATGCAGCCAATGAGCTTACTGCCTTGCATTTATATGGCTGGCTAGCATTCACTAGAGATTCCTGCAGCGCTGTTTCAGAGTTTCTCTGAAACCCTCCACCTGTATAGATCTGCTATGGGTTATTTTATATGCTATTTGTGCAGCAGCAGTATGTCTTAAAATACTCATGGCACCGTATCGCTGTATGCATTGGCAGTAGCAAATTCCTGTACTTGCTTGCAGCAGCAGCAATAATCTACAACTACAGCAATAACTAACAGCATATCCATCACCATGCTAAAATCTTCAGAGAGTTGTCATGATTGAAATATATATATATATATATATATATATACATATACACACTAGTCAACATTTGAAGTGGATCAAAACCTTTCACCAAAGCTAACCTAAAACCAAAATGCGTTCTTGTCTTAGGACAACTTTGATGAACTTTCTTGATCCACTTCAAATGTTGACTACTGTGTGTGTGTGTAACGGAGTTTAAATAATGTTAGTTAAATTCATGCATAAATTGGGAAAACTCGCCATTGGCTGTTGCATCACTCGCATTTGCCCACATGATATTGCGGGGTGGAGCTACCTCATCAGCTGCATAGTCTCATATCTCCCTGCTGCTAAGACTTCTCATGCAACATCGATGCAATGTATTCTAACCAGCCTTTTGGTCGTGTTTGTCCCAATTTTGTTTGTCAGGCCCAGTAAAGCAAGCTTGAGTGACCATACACCTGATCTCAGTGTGAATTACTCCCCAACACACACATACATACATACATTATATATATATATATACAGTGGGTACGGAAAGTATTCAGACCCCCTTAAAATTTTCACTCTTAACAATATTGCAGCCATTTGCTAAAATCATTCAAGTTAATTTTTTTTCCTCATTAATGTACACACAGCACCCCATATTGACAGAAAAACACAGAATTGTTATATATATATATAATGGCATACAATTGGGCCAGCTTTAGAAATGTCACAACAGCAGACACATTCTGAGTCTGAGGAGATAAAAGAACAATAAACATATAAAATAACTGATAATATGCTGCTGACTTACGTAAATAAAAACTAATATTACCTGAATGTATCTGACAGAGTTGAGTGATGTCCAGATGTTGAGTCTGGTTGCTGATGGGATTGTTGAGCGCACAGCTGTAGGTGTTTTTATCCTGATATTCCACCTCCAGAGGTAGAGAGAGACTGATACTGAGATCAGACACACTGAACACACCAATGAACATGATGATGATGATGAAGAACAGTTTCTTCTTATGACAGGAAAAGGCAGACGAGCTATAAAAGATTAGAAAAATCAGAGTAAATCAACTAAGTAAAAGGGCTGCAAGTCACTGTTTAATGTGTTGACTGACGTCAGACAGTGAGTAGCAGTGGTTTTCAGTCCTGGTCTTTGGGACCCACAGCACTGCACACTTTGTGCTGAAGCATTTACGTTACAAAAAGATGAATAATGGCTTTCTTCCAAATAAAACAACTTTTAACATGCATATAAACACGCTTAGTTAACATACTGGACATCTGTCTAATCAGTCCTGATACTGACAGTCTTATAATGGTTGAAAGTATTCAAAATGACTATTTCTGTGGCAAAATAATATTTTAATAAACACCACTGATTGGTATGGCTTAGACCATCTGGACTGGTACCTGAAAGATTGTAGATTTGAATATCGGAAGGAAGTATTCATGAGTTGTTGATGTTCACCCAAAAAAATAGATGTTGATGAAGTTTGTTTCTTCATAGGAACAGTTTGGAGAAATTTAGCATTACATCACTTGCTTACCCGTGGATGGGTGCCATCAGAATGAGAGTCCAAACAGCTGATAAAAAAGTCACCATAAGTAATCCAATAAGTAATCCACACCACTCCAGTCCATCAATTAACCTATTGTGAAGTGAAAAGCTGTATGTTTGTAAAAAACAAATCCATCATTAAGAAGTTTAACTTTAAACCATTGTTTCTGGCCACAATACAAATCCATAATAACACTCATTCTGACGGCACCCATTCATTGCAGAGGATCCATTGGTGAGCAAGTGATGTGATGCTACATTTCTCCAACTCTGATGAAGAAACAAACTCATTTACAACTTAGATGATCTGAGGGTCAGTAAATGTAACACAGATTTTCATTTTTGGGTGAACTATTCCTTTAAATGACTGCAGGCAACATTGTAATTGATATTTATAATATTTGTAATTTATATGTAGTGTTATAATTAACACTGTTTTCATATTTATAGTTTATATTAAGCAGATGCTTATTCCAGGCAAGTGCAATACTGTGAGACTCCCATAATCAACATATGACGACCTATAAATCAATGTCAAATACAAATAAAGTCAGCTGGATTTTTGCATTTGTGAGTTGTGAGTCTATTATTATTAACTCAGGGACATTGAATATTTTCCTTAACATCTTATTTACAATGATCTGTGCTTTATAAATTCCAGAGTGGTTGGTTCTGATGTTCCTGACAGTAAAGGAGATCCAGTCTGGGGGTCCAAACGCAATCTGTCTTTGAATCCTTTGGTCCTTTCAGATACTGAGATGATCTGGGCTGATCTGTTGACTTCAGCCATGAGAGAGTCTTCAGCTCCAAATCTCCACAGAATCAGATCATCTTTCTTTATTTCAGTATCAGTCTGTAGAGCAGGAAATTTTTATTGCTGGAATAATTTAAGTAGGCTATACGAGGGACACAAATGCAGAAATGCAGTGTGCTTACAACAATGCTTGAAATAAACCTCAACAAATGTATCTGTGACCTAATAAAAGGGGCCTTTTTTACTTCATATTATATTGGATATCATGTAGAATTATTAAAGTCATACAAGTTAATGTGCATTAAATGTGTCACGTATTTTACATCAAAATCTTTCCACATTCACCTGTTTGGGAATCGCCAATCTCCTAGCACTAATAGATTAAAATAGATTAAAGGTATGAGTCATTAGTCTGAAGCGCAATTGGCCCTTTAGGGCAAGATTTGAGGAACCCTACTGTAGAGTGACAGAATCTCTCTCCATCACTGACACTGACTTCATTTCATCTGTCTCTACACCTGAAGAACAAACAGAAAGGGTTATCCAGATAGATACTCGTACAGTAAGTAACTTTCTATTCGCTCAGCTTTTTAAACTGTTTACTTATCCAATTGGTAAATCATTTTCATTGACTTTGGTACTAATGAGAAAAAAAAACACATCAGAGAATATGGCCCAGCCCAGTCACTAAAATAATAAAGCCTTATAGCCTTTATAATGTATAATACATTATTAATATGTATTAACATTATACTGTGAATTGGTTATGCTCCTCTATCATCTGCTAAACGCATAAATGTTCATGTAAAATATTTACAAAAGTCAAAATAATTATATCAAATAAAGAGAAAATAAATAAAGTTTCTAGCACATTGGTGTTGATGAATTAACTACATTATTTCACTGAAAAACAATTCAGACTGCATATTCATGTCGGCAGAAGAAAAGAAACCCTTCACCCACAAACTACATAAGTTTTTTGTCCACCCAACAAATAAAACCATGTCTTGTTCCAGATAAGATAAGAGACCACAACAGGTTTCACTTAGACTCGCAAACTGTCACACATTCAGAGAATAACATCCATTCTTATATTTCTGCATGAGAAAAATATATACTTTCTATGGGTCGATTTTAAAAATGACATTTCAATCAAGTACCACTGTGTCTAATTATACTATTAGCAAAATGCAAAAATAGACCTTTGGTTTTAAGAGAATATGACAATGTTATTTGAAAAATTTAGATGATTATTGCGCTGAATTGGTTTTAAATTTTGCAAATGATGTTGCTTTTAAATTTACTTTGCATTCACATTAACACATAGTAGGCTACTTAAAATCCCCATAGTATGTGAGAACAGAATATAACTCCCTTTTTCACTACATGGACTGCAACAAGTAATTATTAAAACAAGACGTGAAATGTATATAGTTTGATATACTCTCAGTTCTTGATCAAGTGAAAGTTTATCTGTGCAATGAATGTTATATCAAGTGAGGCTGAGACAGGCCATTGGCATTCTTGCACTTCTGCAGTGTACACAGAGTTTCGGGCTCTCTAGCAACATCACCGGTTAAAATACAACAAACTGAAATTATCATTATTATATCTGTTTGATAGTTTCTATAATGATAAGGGGGGGGGGGAACTTGCATTTGCATATAGGCTATCCGTGTTTTCCTTATAAACTATGTTTTCATTTGAAACGTGCATATTGAAAAAAGTCTTCATAGCAAATTTTTATTGCTGGAATAATTTAAGTAGGCTATACGAGGGACACAAATGCAGAAATGCAGTGTGCTTACAACAATGCTTGAAATAAACCTCAACAAATGTATCTGTGACCTAATAAAAGGGGCCTTTTTTACTTCTTCATATTATATTGGATATCATGTAGAATTATTAAAGTCATACAAGTTAATGTGCATTAAATGTGTCACGTATTTTACATCAAAATCTTTCCACATTCACCTGTTTGGGAATCGCCAATCTCCTAGCACTAATAGATTAAAATAGATTAAAGGTATGAGTCATTATTTACTCACCCGTTCGAAACCAGTATGAACAAAAAACACATTTCTCAAAGTGTTTTCTACAGAAGAACGAGTCATACAACCTTGAAACAACATGAGAGTGAGTGGATTTTTATTTTTTGAATGAACTGTCCCTTTAAAATGGACCTACGAAAGCATACATCATGTTTTTCTTTATTGTAGTTAACAGTCAAATACAGAGCAAAAACACAGAACACTTAATAGTTTAGGGAACGTGAGAAAGAACTACTAATAATAAATATCATATACAGTATAAGCATACATTGTGTCTGTTCTTTGACCATATGTTGCACTGAAAAACAACCTACTTATGTTTAAGAATGGTGTGTGAAAGCATCCAAAATGTCATGATCCACAGTGTTGTGTTAATCATGCTTAACATTTGAAAATCTCATTCACATTTTTTTTTCTTATTTTTCAATGTCAGCCGAACTCTGTTCTCTCAACTCCTCCTGAGATGAATATCTTCTGAGATTAATTAAAGTTAGTCTTTCAGTCATTTAAGAACACACCTTCATGTTCACAGTTGTCTGATGTCGGTTAATAGTAACATGACCTGCAGGTTAACAAATAAACTATGTTCTCTTTTTTTAGTAAGTCTTTAATTTTGACTCTTTATAGCAAATTAAAACCAAACATTCTATTATAGATTATATTAGTTACATTCATTAGATGTTACTATGACAAGTACAGAAGTAACTGCTTTATGAATATAATTCGAATTGAAAAGACAAGAAACCTTCAAAACAATGTGTGTGGAATAAAGCAATGCAAAATTAAGTGAGTGTCTGATCGATATATGTGGAAACATCACAAAAACAAAACAAAGCCATATTATCACATATGTATGATTTTTTTTTAAATAAAAATGAAATAATATTTATATATATGAGAAGCTGCTGACCTATTGTCCAAGAAGACTGTGCCATCATAACAATGCTTTAAAGGTTTATGCACTGTATTATGTAATCAATTACAAACTGCAATGTTTGTTGTACTGATGAACATTTTAACTAAAAGAAAAAAAAATTCTCAGTATGTAGCTTATAGAGGTAACAGAAACACTGGCTATATAACTAACTTAACCTTTATTAACTTAACATTTATTAGGCCAGTGAAACTGTTGTAAGCACACTGCAATACTAGTCACCAATTACAACTGGGCTATTAATCAAACTATTCAAACAAAAATGAAAGTCTCACAAATGAAGTAAAGAGCTAAACACATCAAAGAGTAAAAACTATATGGGTTAGCACAGGTTATTCTACTTGTTTGCTCTGCTGTGTGCCTGTATCGATTTATCATATTACACAAACTATGCATTGTTTTGACACTTGGTGTGTGAAAGCATCCAAAATGTCATGATCCACAGTGTTGTGTTAATCATGCTTAACATTTGAAAATCTCATTCACATTTTTTTTTCTTATTTTTCAATGTCAGCCGAACTCTGTTCTCCCAACTCCTCCTGAGATGAATATCTTCTGAGATTAATTAAAGTTAGTCTTTCAGTCATTTAAGAACACACCTTCATGTTCACAGTTGTCTGATGTCGGTTAATAGTAACATGACCTGCAGGTTAACAAATAAACTGTTCTCTTTTTTTAGTAAGTCTTTTATTTTGACTCTTTATAGCAAATTAAAACCAAACATTATTGTAGATTATATTAGTTACATTCATTAGATGTTACTATGACAAGTACAGAAGTAACTGCTTTATGAATATAATTCGAATATAATTCGAAAAGACAAGAAACCTTCAAAACAATGTGTGTGGAATAAAGCAATGGAAAATTAAGTGAGTGTCTGATCGATATATGTGGAAACATCACAAAAACAAAACAAAGCCATATTATCACATATGTATGATGTTTTTAAAATAAAAATGAAATAATATTTATATATATGAGAAGCTGCTGACCTATTGTCCAAGAAGACTGTGCCATCATAACAATGCTTTAAAGGTGTATGCACTGTATTATGTAATCAATTACAAACTGCAATGTTTGTTGTACTGATGAACATTTTAACTAAAAGAAAACATTTTTCTCAGTATGTAGCTTATAGAGGTAACAGAAACACTGGCTATATAACTAACTTAACCTTTATTAACTTAACATTTATTAGGCCAGTGAAACTGTTGTAAGCACACTGCAATACTAGTCACCAATTACAACTGGGCTATTAATCAAACTATTCAAACAAAAATGAAAGTCTCACAAATGAAGTAAAGAGCTAAACACATCAAAGAGTAAAAACTATATGGGTTAGCACAGGTTATTCTACTTGTTTGCTCTGCTGTGTGCCTGTATCGATTTATCATATTACACAAACTATGCATTGTTTTGACACTGTTGCAGTTAATGCTTAACATTGAAACTTCGAAATAATTTGAGGAGCGTGCACTAATATTTTCAGTTCCATTCGTCTGTCTCAATGACACGCCCACAATTTGGGAACTAATGAATATTCATGTAAACTCCGCCCACTGGAACAGTTTTTCACAGGAACTGAATATCACACAAAACCGGTCTTCACGCATTGTTTTCGCCCTCCGAAACGCGTTTTTTACAGAAATGATCGAGAATGGTCACCAGCAGATCTCAGTCAGTACAAAGTTTGTCTCTAATGGTGTTAAGTGTCTTTTAAAGTCATTTTAAGCAAACGGTGCATGAATTCTGTCAGTGCAGAAATCAATTCGGACATTCGGACAATCCAGCTCCACTTTCCATCTTATTTTTTACACTCAGATTTTATTCAACCCTTTCTTAACTCATCGATATGAAGATATTAATGGTTTTATTATTATTATTACTACACATACACGGTAAGTGGTAGATACATACTTTCGGTTTTGATCAGTTTATATAACTGCGCAATTCCTATAATTCATGTTATCTTAATGTGAGGGAGAAAATGACAAAAAGCAACTGTCTAGAATGTTTTGTAGTGGATAAAAGTAAGAGCCTACTTGTCGAAATCTGTAGACCTCGTTTGCATGTGTGGCAAAACAGATCAAAGTACTAAACTCGCTACACTCTAAAAAAATGCTGGGTTAAATACAACCCAGTGCTGGGTAAAATAGGGACAAACCCTATTTTACCCAGCACTGGCTAGTATTTAACCCAGCATTTTTTAGAGTGTACAGTCTTTATGGGTGTAACTTTACTCGTAAGCTGCTTGAGCACAGTTACAGTGGGTACGGAAAGTATTCAGACCCCCTTAAATTTTTCACTCTTTGTTATATTGCAGCCATTTGCTAAAATCATTTAAGTTCATTTTTTTCCCTCATTAATGTACACACAGCACCCCGAGCACTGTTTGAAAATACCTCAGTTTTTTGACAAGATTGATCTTACAGAATACTACTATCTATATATATATATATATATATATATATATATATGAATTAATACTTACAAAAATGTTTGCTTTTCTCACATTGAAGTTGCAGAAACCTGTCTTGACTGGTTGGACGCAAGTTCTCACACCCTTGAAAACATAATAAATGTGATAACCCATTTTTTCATAACATTCCATCCTGAAGTTTTTTTATTTGTTTGTTTTGCTTGGGTCCTTTGTAGTGAGTCCTGTTTTACTCAAGGCTCAATTTTAAGAGTACATCTTAAGGTCTGTGCTATGTGATACATCATGCAAAGTCAATGGCCAGGGCCAAATTTTCATGCAAGTATATCTATATCAGGCATAAGTGCATGGGTTGTATACACTCTAAAAAATGCTGGGTTGTTTCAACCCAACTTTGGGTCAAAAATGGGCTAAACCAACTTTCGGGTTAAAACATTTAATGTAAAAATTTAACCCAACGGTTGGGTTAGTCCATATTTGACCCAATGTTGGGTTGAAACAACCCAGCATTTTTTAGAGTGTAGGAATCATTAATGCAGAGCACAAAAAGCTATTTGTGTGTTATGTTATATTGTACATTAACAAATTTTGTCTTGTGCTGCTTCATTTACACGGACCAGGAAGGTATAAAATCACCATTGGCATATATATACATACACACCTTTGTCCTAACTCTTTGATAAACTAAACTACAAGGAGTTGGTCACTCCCTTTGCCAAAGGACTCTGACCTTTCTTTGATTCAGAACTCAGATTGTTTGGATAATTAAAAATATGATAACACAAGACCTACACCAGATTCTGGTCCAAATGTAGGGTGCGTCCTTTCACCTGTTTGCATTTCACATACTTACTGTGTTGTGGTTTTGTGATCTGAATAACCATTTCTATTTGTTCTGCAGGTGCGTCTGGTGCTGACACAGATGCAATAGAATCAGTATCAGTGATGGAGGGAGATTCTGTCACTTTACATACTGGTGAAACACAGACAGAAGATCTGAAAGTGTGGACCTTTGGACCTGAAAATACTGTCATAGCTATGAACTCTGATGTTAAGATATCTAGAGACAGATTTCTGGTGAACCAATCAACTGGATCGCTTACCATCAAGAACATCACAACTAATTTTTCTGGAATATATAAATTAAATGTTGTCAGGAAGAGCACATACAAGACATTTAATGTTACTGTCTATGGTGAGTAGCTCAAGTCTTTCAGTGGAATTGTCTACTTTTAAGTTTGCATTAAAATAAATGTTACTTTATCATTTAAAATGTAAAGCAATTATACTTCCTAAAGGTCTATGATACGTTACTCAAGATGTTTGGCCTAGTGATCTACTGTAAGTACTGTTGTAGAGGGGGCCGACATACTGATTGTGTTTAAGCTGCGTTTACACTGCATGCTTAATGCACAGATCCGATCTTCTGATTTTTTTGGCCCACCTGCATACATTCACATTAGACACAAGTGGTATCCATTCAGTCAGAATTTGTGCTGCAGAACATCCATGACAGCTGTTGTCCATGCAGGCAAATAATAATGGCCACTCGACGTGAATTATAAAGTAATTTTAATTGTATGGCCATTTAAAACCCAAGGCCCTACCATGTCCATAGTAAGGCGATCACTGACAATCATTCTGGGCAGGAATGAATGTAAACACAAATATTGAATATCAGTCGTGTCTAGAGTGAATGTAAACAGGCGGTATGTGCATTAAGACTTGTCAGATGTGTGCAAAAAAAATCAGATTTTTTTGTGCCCAAGATTGCATTATTATTTTGATTCTGACTCCTCCCCCTACTCTTCCCCATTGGAAGCAGCACTTCTTAACACAGAAACACTTAAACATTAAGAATGTTATGTTGAGACTAAAGCAATAGATTTATTGCCTAACTTGTTTAAAGTTATATCTATTCTTTCAACTCCTGTCATGATCATGTAAACTTGGTACAATTTGCATGCTATCAAAGCAGGTTCATTCACCTCAAAACTCAAAAGGATGATTTAGACAACTTTACAACTCAAATAATGTATAATTGACTGAATAATTCATATAAGAGCTTTAACAAAACATTTTATAAAAATAAAGCGAATTATTAAAAAAAAAAATGTTATGCTAATAGATTTCAATAGCCAGTGCTTTGTTATTTGTGAACATTTCAAACTACTGCATTAAAGCGTCATTCAGATTTCTTTCAGATAAACAAAGATTTATCTGAAAATTATATTTTGCCTGTTTATTCTCTAATGCTTTCCAGCTCGTCTGTCTGTTCCTGTCATCAGCAGAGACTCTTCACAATGTTCTTCATCATCATCATCATCATCATCATCATCATGTTCACTGGTGTGTTCAGTGGTGAATGTGAGTCATGTGACTCTCTCCTGGTACAAAGGAAACAGTTTATTGTCCAGCATCAGTGTGTCTGATCTCAGCATCAGTCTCTCTCTACCTCTGGAGGTGGAATATCAGGATAAAAACACCTACAGCTGTGTGCTCAACAATCCCATCAGCAACCAGACTCAACATCTGGACATCACTCAACTCTGTCACAAATGTGCAGGTATGTGCACCAATATAAAAATATGGTACTCCTACAAACTCTAAATTCTAATAGCAAAGCTCAGCTAAATAACTATACTAAGAAGGGCAAAAAGTTCAACAGGTCACACAGCATTTATATTACTTTTGTAGTGCATTATTAATGTCAGCTGACTAACTTTCCATTTTACGGATGCAGTTATGAACATAACCATGGGTACATCCTTATAGCTATACTAGTGAAAACAAACTAACTCTGTGCCAAATAGTCTCACAGCTTAAACAGCATCAGTATGTCACAACCCGATATTGTCAGTTCCAGTGCTTCTCCACAAGTTTCTAATGTCTCTACTTCTCTATTACAGCACAAGGACTGTCCTCTGGCATTAAAGTGGGGATAGGTGTTGTTGTCTTCCTGCTGGTTGCTGGGATGGGTGCTGTGGTTTACTATTGCTACAACAAATTTGACAAAACAAAAGAAGAAAATAGTAAGTGTTACATACGGCTTATACAATGAGAAAACTATGTGAAATACCTTTGAAAAAAGTTAACTTTGTAACTACAAAAAATTGCTTGACTGTGCTAGAATTGTATTATTTTGCTTCTCTTAATTAATTCATTGTTTAATAAAGTGATTATTTTATAACAGATCAAACTCCTATGGAACAAGCTATTCCACTAAACAATGGTAAGGTATTATATTTCTTGATATACTGTATATATTAACACCTGACTGTTGTGTTTGAATGTATGAGATGTGGCTTCATTCATTTTATCCATTTCTGTTAAAGACATAATTGTATATTTGTCTAAAGAATTAGAGTTGTTATGTCCAGCATATGAAATACTGGGTTACTGCCAAAGAAGGTACAGAGTTAGTACAAAACCAGACGTAGTCCAAACCACAATCTTTTTAGCAATTAGCTAAATGGCCATTGCAAGTAATGCTATGGAAACCTGACGTCACAGTGCAATGCATTGTGGGATTTTAGGATACAAGGACATTGACGAAAAATTGATTTTCTTTTCATGAGAATACACCTATTATTCCACAAAGAACTATTATGCAGGGAAAATTTGTGTTTGTATAACAATTTCCAATATAATACTTAAACTGAAATCAACATCCTGACCATCAAGAGCCAAAATGTATAAAATTCTAGAAACAAAATAGCGAGTGAGAAAATCACTTTTTGTGGTGAACTAAACTAATTTCATCCCAGAGGACAAAATGAGTTGTCTAAACAAGAACAAAACAAAAAACAACAACACTGAAACCACAGGATGTGATTGACATATTTCATTGAATTAAGTCTGATTATTGAACAGGTCGAGTTCTTGGGGAAGAAGCTGATAACCCAAATAATGGTAAGATATTATATTACTGTGCACTAAATCTCTGTGTTTGAGTACAAATCAGATTAACATCTTTGTTTTCAGTAGTTGAAGAAATTGCTTATCAGCAGAGAGATTTACCAGATGGTAAGTTACTGTAAAACAATGTGCATTTTCATTGTCCATTACATGTAATCATAATTAACAAAAAATTATTATTATTCAAACAGGTCAGGAAGAATGTGGTCCACTTATTGACGGTAAGATGTTGAGTTTCAGTTGTGTGCTTGTGCTTGTAAAGAAATCAGCCCTTGAAATATTAAGATCTGCTATTTTTATAGTAAACAGATGACTAATTAGGAGAGATATTTATGATCATTTCGACAGAAAAAAGCAGAGTTTTATGCTCTGAAGTAAAAATATGAAAGTCACAATCAATATTATAGGGTTTTGTGTTTATAGATGGTACCGTGTTGTTGGGTAGGTTTGGGAAACCCAAAGGCCTGATGGACGTTTGATCTGGCCATCATTTGCATGCTATATTTTAAGTACAATAGCTTAGTATGTGGAAGAGAGCAAAATTTAAGATGTTCACTGAAAAGGTTCCCCTCTGCAGTAGCTCTTATATCAAATATGGTGCCATAAGTTTCTGCCTTGGGTTTAATGATATTTGGAAAAGTGCAGGCTTTGGGACATACTGTAATACTTTGTCATAATTTAACAGACTGCTCTGATGCTTGGTTACATGCATTCTGTCATAATTTAAACTGGCCTTGTCATAATTTACGTCTTTAATTTAATATCCTACTGTATTAGAGAGAAATTAAGAAGCCAGTTGTGGGTCTTTAATGCAGAGAACTCTCCTGATATTTATGCATAATTTAAAATTTAATGACCAAATGTATCTTTATGAAAGTTTACAATGTTATTTGCAGATAAAATTTTATTTGGATTATATTGAATATTTGTCAGGTTAGATGTTGCTTATTAATCACTCAAACCCTATCTAAACCGCTCCACTTAACCATCGATCTTACATATCCAGCATGTTTGTAGTTTTTTATTTTATTTATTATTATTCATGTTTGTAGACAATCAAAACATCATCCAACATGCAATGGGTTGTGGGCAATATTAGTTGTTAGAGTGCGCACAAATCTGCACTTAGAATTTACTCTGGAGATTGGGTACCTTTGGGATACAAATCTTCTGCTGATAATCTTGTGCTGATAATGTCTTTTGCAACCAGAGTTTGTGCATTAGTGATCGCAAGCACGGCTGTCAATCATGACACCCCACCCAGTTTTTATAGCATCAAATAACTAACTAAAACCAATCATATTGGAAAAAATGAGCACTTGAAAATACACCAGTGTGATAAGAACTACTTTAGAAAATAATTATTTGAAGCGTAATTGGATCTTTTGGTTTGTCTCGCATCCCATTCGATTGCATGGGGAAGAAAGGGTTTATGACCTATAACTAATTCTAAATTGGAATGCTATTTAAAGGAACACTCCACTATTTTTGAAAATAGGCCCATTTTCCAACTCCCCTAGAGTTAAACAGTTGAGTTTTACCGTTTTTGAATCCATTCAGCAGATCTCCGGGTCTGGCGGTAGCACTTTTAGCTGTAGCTTAGCATAGATCATTGAATCGGATTAGACCGTTAGCATCTCGCTCAAAAATGACTTTTTGAAACTTGACTCTTCTGTAGTTACATCGTGTACTAAGATCGACGGAAAATGAAAAGTTGCGATTTTCTAGGCCGATATGGCTAGGAACTATTATATTACGCAGCGCCTGAAAATAGTCCCCAGCACGCTCCCTGTGCAAGCAGGTGGCAATCCCATAGTAGTATGTATTGGAAAACACAGCTAATAATAAATTTTCAATCAAAATTGTTAGAAGCAAAGCTACTATTACTTGGTTACACTCTAATACATTATCAATGCTACTCAGGTACTCTTATAGTATGGTGCTAAAGAATTACGCAATACAGTAAAACTATAAATATGCTAATCTCTGGACCAAAATGGCAGTGCCAAAACATTTATGAAGCTCATATTGTACAGAAACTGTAACAGGGTTTATTTGCATCTTATAAATAAAATGGGAGTGACACTGTCATTAATGTTGATGTTAACTTGTAATGTGAGCATGTTGTGACATACTGAGGTTTTAATATTCAGTCTAATGTTTATTTACATACTGTGATATTTGAGATGTTCTTTGTAAGTTCACTGTGAAAACACTCAGTATTATGAATGCAATATATTTTAGTGACCTATAAAACTTATAAAAACCTCTCAATGAGTTATTTGTTGATTCATACGTAAAAGATAAATGTACAGTCGGTCATTATCTCAAACTAAACCCTGACAAGGTATTACCAAAGGGAAAAGTATCTTTTAAATCATAAAATAAATATTGAGAAGCATTCCCTTCATTCCCAAATGACTGTTTATAACATCATTTAAAGGGATAGTACGCCAAAAAAAGAAAAAGAAAATCATGTACTCACCCTCAAGTTGTTCCAAACCTGTATGAGTTTATTTAGTCTATTGAACACAAAATCCCATAGTAGTATGTATTGGAAAACACAGCTAATGATACATTTTCAATCAAAATTGTTAGAAGCAAAGCTACTATTACTTGGTTACACTCTAATACATTATCAATGCTACTCAGGTACTCTTATAGTATGGTGCTAAAGAATTACGCAATACAGTAAAACTATAAATATGCTAATCTCTGGACCAAAATGGCAGTGCCAAAACATTTATGAAGCTCATATTGTACAGAAACTGTAACAGGGTTTATTTGCATCTTATAAATAAAATGGGAGTGACATTGTCATTAATGTTGATGTTAACTTGTAATGTGAGCATGTTGTGACATACTGAGGTTTTAATATTCAGTCTAATGTTTATTTACATACTGTGATATTTGAGATGTTCTTTGTAAGTTCACTGTGAAAACACTCAGTATTATGAATGCAATATATTTTAGCGACTAATAAAACTTATAAAAACCTCGCAATGAGTTATTTGTTGATTAATACGTAAAATATAAATGTACAGTCGTCATTCTCAAACTAAACCCTGACAAGGTATTACCAAAGGGAAAATATATTTTAAATCATAAAATAAATATTGAGAAGCGTTTCCTTCATTCCCAAATGACTGTTTATAACATCATTTAAAGGGATAGTACGCCAAAAAAAGAAAAAGAAAATCATGTACCCTCAAGTTGTTCCAAACCTGTATGAGTTTATTTAGTCTATTGAACACAAAAGAAGATATTTTCAAGAACATGGGTAACTGAACAGTTGTTAGTCCCCAATGACTTCCATAGTAAGGGTGAAAAAAACTAAGAGGGAAAAATAAGAAACTGCCTATAATTGACCATGAAAACTCGCTTTTAATATTTTTTTAACAACATATACAAAGTTAGAGTGACATAAGACGTTTTAATGAGGCTAAATGCATTTGGAAAATGACCAACTTCCAACCAGCTTCGCCACTGGTTACATTGGTGTCAATTTTACAGTTTTGATCAGCGTTAAGAAACAAAACAACATTTTTGACCGTTTCCAGCCCTCTAGTGGACAATCTATACTAAAGTGGGTGTTTGTGAATAGTTGTATAATGTGAATTAGAAGCTGCTTTACTTTTTAATAATAAAATTAAAATATATATTTTAAAGAAATGGTCCTATAAATTGTGGGATAACATCAGACCATTATGCTAACACAGATTTGCTGTAAACTCGTAAATGTTAACTGTATATAGTAAGGTGACTTATAGTTAGCTTATTTATAGGATTTTAATGTTTGTTTTTTTTTACTGTTAAATTATTACATTTTTAAAAGAGTGGAAGAAAAAAAAAGGTTTGACCTTGAACTGTGACCTATGCTGGCACTTACACACTTTCTAACCCAACCATTACTGTCTGCTCACACACACCTTCAATTTGGACTTTTAATTTGAACGTTTTGACACATTTACAGGTCGTGCTAGATCTGATCAGATGGATGCGGATCTGAGATGTGTTTCATATATGTCAGATTCCATGAAATATGCGTATTCGGAAGTTCCAAAGAACTTCCTTATTTTACGAAGGTCAGATTTAGCTTACTGTTTTCCCGGCATAAGTACAAGGACTTTTTAGCTTTCACTTGTATAACCGTTAAATATTGATCCAAAGTGAAAAATGAAATAATAGCCTATGTTAATAATCGTTGCTATCAGCTTGAGGTTTAGGTTGTTTTGAAACTCCGACTAGACTCAACGGAACAATTTAACAACTACAATGGACAGAATTATGCAAATGATTGTTATCATTTTAGTCCCGTTACTCCTGGGTGGTGAGTAGATTTATATCGTTTCAAGAATTCATTTTCACTTTCACTTTACACATTTCAACGAAATATCTAGCCTAAAAATGATTTGAATATTGGCCTAATTTAATGCAATTTTGTATTACATATAATTTATACAAATATTAGGCTACTATATAGCAATTTACCATTCATTTACATACGATACTTATTTTGAGAGGCTTAAAGTCAGAAGATGTCTTTGTATTGTAACGAGGAAAAGTCTCATTAAAAGCCTGAGAATCTTGTATTACAGACCCAAATATTAAAAAATGTGTAAACCAACATGAATACAAAGATTACGTTGAAAGAGCATGACTGACCTTTCAAAATTGTTTTGTTCCTCTATTCATAAAATATCCCGCTGGACTTTAAACGTGGTTTTGGATCTGTAAAGATTTGAACAGGATTTAAAAAACTAAACAAAAAAAAAACAGGTTCATTGGATTTAAAGGGATAGTTCCCTCGAAAATGGAGATTTAGACATCATTTACTCACCCTGGTGTCCTTCCGACTTTTAATTTGAACGTTTTGACACATTTACAGGTCGTGCTAGATCTGATCAGATGGATGCGGATCTGAGATGTGTTTCATATATGTCAGATTCCATGAAATATGCGTATTCGGAAGTTCCAAAGAACTTCCTTATTTTACGAAGGTCAGATTTAGCTTACTGTTTTCCCGGCATAAGTACAAGGACTTTTTAGCTTTCACTTGTATAACCGTTAAATATTGATCCAAAGTGAAAAATGAAATAATAGCCTATGTTAATAATCGTTGCTATCAGCTTGAGGTTTAGGTTGTTTTGAAACTCCGACTAGACTCAACGGAACAATTTAACAACTACAATGGACAGAATTATGCAAATGATTGTTATCATTTTAGTCCCGTTACTCCTGGGTGGTGAGTAGATTTATATCGTTTCAAGAATTCATTTTCACTTTCACTTTACACATTTCAACGAAATATCTAGCCTAAAAATGATTTGAATATTGGCCTAATTTAATGCAATTTTGTATTACATATAATTTATACAAATATTAGGCTACTATATAGCAATTTACCATTCATTTACATACGATACTTATTTTGAGAGGCTTAAAGTCAGAAGATGTCTTTGTATTGTAACGAGGAAAAGTCTCATTAAAAGCCTGAGAATCTTGTATTACAGACCCAAATATTAAAAAATGTGTAAACCAACATGAATACAAAGATTACGTTGAAAGAGCATGACTGACCTTTCAAAATTGTTTTGTTCCTCTATTCATAAAATATCCCGCTGGACTTTAAACGTGGTTTTGGATCTGTAAAGATTTGAACAGGATTTAAAAAACTAAACAAAAAAAAAAACAGGTTCATTGGATTTAAAGGGATAGTTCCCTCGAAAATGGAGATTTAGACATCATTTACTCACCCTGGTGTCCTTCCAAATTCAAATGACTTTCATTCTTCTGAAAGGATGTTAGACAGATTATCCACATCACATTTTTTTCTCCATACAATCAGATTGAATAAAGATGAAAACAGCAAAGTCTATTATGAGATGTCCTACTTAAATCTCCATCTGAGAAACTGTTTCTGTTTGTTCTCCAGGTGTGTTTGGCGTTGATGTGAAGTCAGTGATGGAGGGCGATTCAGTTACTCTACAGACTAGTGTTACTGAAATAAAGAGAGATCATCTGATAACATGGACGTTTGGACCTGAACGCACTCGTATAGCTCAGATCAACGGATTGGTTCAAAAGATCTCCACATATGATGGTCCTGACGGGAGATTCAGATACAGACTGAAGCTGGACAAACAAACTGGATCTCTGACCATCACAAACATCACACCTCAACATGCTGGACTCTATGAATTTTTACATTTCATCAGTGGAAAAGAGGTCATGCCCAAGAAGTTCAGTATTATTGTTTATGGTGAGTCGTTTTGTAGCTGCATGCCAATTTGAGTGGTAAGTTAGAAGCCTTTTAGAGACAAAGTCAACCTGAATCACAGCCTGGTATACAGTACGTAATTTGTGGCGACCAGAGAGACGGAGATGTAATGTCCAACATCAGGGTTCAAACTGCATCAGGGTGTTTTATTGTGACATTTACATCAATATTTAGTATATTCTCTCTTCTTTTCAGCTCGTCTGCCTGTTCCTGTCATCAGCAGTAACTCTTCACAGTGTTCATCTTCATCATCATCATCATCATCATGTTCATTGGTGTGTTCAGTGGAGAATGTGGGTCATGTGACTCTCTCCTGGTACAAAGGAAACAGTTTATTGTCCAGCATCAGTGTGTCTGATCTCAGCATCAGTCTCTCTCTACCTCTGGAGGTGGAATATCAGGATAAAAACACCTACAGCTGTGTGCTCAACAATCCCATCAGCAACCAGACTCAACATCTGGACATCACTCAACTCTGTCACACATGTGCAGGTACGGCAGCGTGGATATCTTAACATTTATTTACTTAGATGTTCTCTGTTGGTCATGTTCATTTATGTGAAATAGGGGCCCCTCTTAGGGGCCGTTTACACATAACGTGTCTTTGCGTCTAAAAATGTGAGATGCAGCGCTCGGGAATGCTTTTTTTAAAAAGCGCAGCACAGAACCTCTGCCATGTTTCCGTAAAACAAAAAAAGTTGCCACACCAACTTGCCAACGCTTGCCCCACCTCTGGGTCTTCTGATTGGTTCACTGTTTTGGTACTGATATTAATGAGCGGCGCTGCTTGTAAAAGTTATTTTAACTAGACACAGCATCTTAAAAACATGGCACTTGTGTGTGAGACACTGCAAAAGATGCGAGACACAAGCTCAACGGCCATACAGGTCTGTCTAGTGCGTGTTTACATAGAAAACAATGGAAAAGTCGTGCATCGGAATGGAAAAACGCATTCTGTGTGAACAGTTAATGAAGTTTTCTTTTTCCATTATAGCACCAGGTTTGACCACAGGTCAGTTAGTGCTGGTTTGCGTTTTTCCTCTGGCTGTGGTTGCAGTTTTCTGTGGTGTTTTCTATTGTTTTCACCACATGAAGTCTAAACAAGCAGCTAATCAAGGTATGTTACCTACACTGTAAAAAAAAATCCGTAAAATTTACTGTGGTTGCCGGAATTTTACTGTACAAAATACGGTAGCAACGCTTTAGGTTTTAAATTAAATTTACAGTTAAATACCGTAATTTCATTAACTGATATAATGTTAATATACCAACCTATTGAAGTACTGAAATCTGTTTTGTAGCTTTGTAATACACTGATAACCACCAAATGCAGGAGGTGATGAGAAAGTCACATGATGAACCAAAGCCCATCACAAACAGCTTTTAAACAATAACATACTGTATATAGAAGGTGCACAGTGTCATTCACACAAACACCATCATGGTAACACACATGAAACTGAAATAATGCAATAAACATTAATTTAACAACATTAGGTGTAACACACAACCCTAAAACCCACAAAAGTTATAAGAAAAAACATCAAATTTGAAATGTTACGCAGGAAATTCTGGGAATGTCAATTTACGGTTATTCACTGTAAATTATACGGTCTTTTTCCACTTTCAAAAACGGTATACTACCGTAAAATTAATGTCCAATACA